TTGATTTTTTGATTTTTTTGGGCACCTCAAAAAAATTAAATTTCACTCAAAGTGGATGCCCAAAGGTATTTTAAGCCATTTTGTGAAGTTTTGAAATTTTTGATTTTTTAATATTTTTTGGGCACCTCAAAAAAATTAAATTTCACTCAAAGTGGGTGCCCAAAGGTATTCTAAGCCATTTTGTGAAATTTTGAAATTTTTTATTTTTTTGGGCACCTCAAAAAAATTAAATTTCACTCAAAGTGGGTGCCCAAAGGTATTCTAGGCCATTTTGTGAAGTTTTAAAATTTTTGATTTTTTTGGGCACCTCAAAAAAATAAAATTTCATTCAAAGTGGGTGCCCAAAGGTATTTTAAGCCATTTTGTGAAGTTTTGAAATTTTTGATTTTTTGATTTTTTGGGCGCCTCAAAAAATTTAAATTTCACTCAAAGTGAGTGCCCAAAGGTATTCTAAGCCATTCGGTGAAATTTTGAAAATTTTTATTTTTTTTTATATTTTTTGAAAAAAAAATCACCAAATTTCCTATTTTCCCGAAATCTGACTTTTTTTATTTTTTGGAAATTTTTATGAATTTTTCTGGAATTTTTCAATTTTTATGCATTTTCTGAAAAAAAAAATTAGGGAGAAAAAGAGAGAAAATAGGGAGAATGCATTCTGGAAGAGAGAAGCTACAAAAAGTAGCTTCTTTTTTTCTTGCCCAAAACTCATTCTGGAATAAAAAATGCATTCTGGAATCAAGTATTTTTAACAAGCACATTTTTATTTCAGAATGCAAAAATTGCTCCAGAATGCATTCCGGAAATTTTTTAACAAACGCATTTCTGTTCCGAAATCCATTCTGGAGCAGAATTTCTACTCCAGAATGGATTCCATACGCGCCCTAAGGGTGATCGGTTTCCGATTCCCAAAATGGGGAACTGGCGACCGGTCACTTTGTTTTTTTTAGAGCATTCCCGTTCTCCATGATTTGACTGTCTTTTGGGACGAGGCCCCTGACAACGCAAGCATTTCCTTTTGCTTGCAAAGTTCACGAAACTGCACCTACAAATAGAGGGAGCACAAAAATTTACATTCAGATAATAGCTAGAACAGGTCCACACAATCTCTTAATCCCAGACACGAGAAATTTTTAAAGAGGGCCGCATAATCTGAAGAACTCACGAAGGACATAGATGAACTTCTTCTCCAGCTCTCTAGTTCGAAATCTTGCACGAACTTGATAAGGAATGAAGTCTTTACCATTTCTGCCCTCGTATAAAGCAAATGAAGGGACTTTCTTATTAAAGAAAGCATAAACTTGGCGTTCATGTGTTTTCCTCAGCAGAAATGAAAGGAAAGGATGATACTCTTTAAAATGGTTTAAAGAATTTCGGCAATACCACTTTAACTCAACCTCAAAGACTATGTGTATGTCAAGGATGAGGTTTAGTTCACATTTTACTAATTTTTTTCAAGAAATTAAAAAAAAAGTATATGTGATTGGTCCGATTCGATTAGTTCGGTTTGGTCCGGTTCTCTTTGAAACCGGGAACCGGACCACCTGGATACCGGTTCCGTTTTTAGAAATCGGGAACCGGACCGACACTCTCGAGAACTGAACCAAACCGGCTGATCTGGTCTGGTCCAGGCGGTTCCCAGTTCGGACGGTCCGTTTTGCACACCCCTGATGAGAAGGGGCGACGCATAAACCCGGTAGCTTTGGCAAGGCAACACCAAGCGAGACAGAGAGGTTTTGATTTGTTAGATTCAAAGCTCGAAAAGATATCTTCTTTACTTATGATATTTTCGTACCAAAGAATGATATTTTTCTCCTCACGAAAATAAAGGGATCTTGTCATTTACCATGCTTGCAAGCGTGGTCTCTCCAAAAATGACCACAATGGTGAACCAAGAGCACACGAAATACTCGTTTGAATTATTTGTACATGCAAATCATATTATGAAAATCACATACGAAAAGATGGAAAAATACGAACTCGCTCCATAAAACGATGTGATGGGCCATACCACTTTCTTTTGGAATGTACATTTAACAATCGTGCATTTACGCGATAGTTTCGGGCATCAAATTCAATATACGCCATCATTTTGGGTGGAAAAAAATGTAGCCTTTTGTTCAAGTGACATTTTCTTAGTCTTTTGAAATTTGCCGTAGAATTTCATTTGCTTTGCTTCAAAATGACATTTTGACTCATTTGCCGTACCCAACAAAGTATATTTAGAGTCGAATCATGATGGCTCGATTCATTTCTACTAAAAGCTAGCGATTCCTCTGTGTTCTTTCCTCCTTTTTTTGTTTTCCTGGTCTTTCGGTCTCCACAAATCTCGATGCAAATAGAAGGAACATTATTCAAAATGCCCTAAACTTATCGCACTTTTGCCGAATTAGTCTTAAACCTTTCTTTATTTTTTAAGACTGAAAGAAAAGAAAAGAAAAAAATAAAAATAAAAAAAAACCAATAAAAAATTCGAAATTCTTTTTAAAAAATAAAACAATTATCCACGTCAACGTCACGTAGGACGGCCAATACCGACTGGACCACCATATCAGTGAATTTTGATCAAAATTAACGGGAATGACTAAATTGGCAATTCGTTAAAAGGTTTAGGACTACATTCGCAAATAGTTAATATATTGAGGACTAAATTGACATAATTGAAAGGTTTATAACTGAATTGGCAAGCTGTCAAAAGGTTTAGGACTGAATTGGCTGCTGTACAATAGGTTTAGGACTTTTTAGACAATTTTCCTCCCAAAAAAAAAAAGTTGTGAGGTTTAAGACTTCAATTTGATTAAAAAAAAATAGGTATAAAGAAGCGAAGAGCAAAGTTGCAAGCGAAGCAACAAAGCCATGCCTTCAATTAAACAAACATCATTTTGGTGCAAAAACAAAACGACGCAATTAATCATTGATCCCAGGTCCCATAATGCGAGAAACTAGCAATTAATCACTGCAGAGTCTTTTGGCTCACAGATATGGCTAATCTGGGTCAAGAGCTTGGTACGCACTTTAATGGATGTGCATGCCAAGGCCGGAATGCGACGATTCTGCCTCCACGGTTCTTTCTGGAGACAGCTGGCGCTACGCTCGATTTCCCAAGCTACCACCCCATTGACGAGGCCACTCTGCATTACTCTCATGTGATGAACTCCTATTTTTTCCCTCCATTCTGCAATTTTCGAGTATTTGAAGAGCTCTTTGACACGCCGCCGACTCAAATCTCCGATTTCGTCGGGACAATCTTCGCTTTTCACCAGTCTGTTCATCACCGCCAAAAATCCGTTCTGCGAGTCAGGTAACGTCCGATCTCCGCCGTTCTCGATGCAGTTTCCTTAGAGCTGAGACGCATGTTCTAGACTGACCTTGCGCTTTGTTCGATGTCCTCGTTTGAGTTCGTTGACGCTTGTTTTGGACTCTGCTTCTGCACTTTCGTTTGAGTTCGTCCATGTCCTCGTTTGAGTTCGTTGACGCTTGTTTTGGACTCTGCTTCTGCACTTTGTTCGATGTCCTCGTTTGAGTTCGTTGACGCGTGTTATATAGACTGGACCGAGATGTTTTTCCCGCTGATTAGGTAGCTTTCGTTTATTCGCGCTTCACCTGTTCGATGAATTGCTTGTGAAAAACTCAATGCATCCTTTTGTTATCCGAAAGTGTATTACCATAGAATTACATCACGATTGATCGATTTTCCACGATCAAATGCGTTTTCTCCCCGTTTCGTGTTTCGTGTTTTGTGGTTATCAATGGCGGCAGTCTTCACGCGAGGTGTTGATGCTGGATCGTAGACCTAGATGATGACTATTAGACGCAACGGCATCGGTTTGTTTACCTGCGGCTCATTTTATGGCTGAGGAGACAATCGATGAAGTGATGGTAGTAATAGTCAATGGTGGATCTCTGGTGATGGCTGATGTTAGTGATCCAATGAGCAGAGAGACAGACGATGGCGGAAATCTGATGATGTGTGTAGATGAATGACCGCAGAGCATTTGTTCCTGTTCTGAAGTTTTGATGCATAGAGTTTTGATTGAATGAATGTTCTCCCTCGGTTTGCGTAAGAAGAAGGAAAGAGGAACCAGAGAAGATAACCAAAAAGAAAAAAAATTGTAAAGAAATGGTAATAAAAGAAAAAAAGAAGAAAAAGAGGGGGGGGATTAATAATGACATTAGAAAAAGGGCTTCGTGTAAACTTGACGTAGGTGGATTAGTGTGGGCTCGGGTTTGGCTTGATATAGAGTGGGCGAGTTTATATTCACAGTTGGGTTTCTGAAGCCCATTTATGATTTGTTCTTGAGCAACCCAAAATGCCCATCGCAAGTGGACCGGGGTCTTAGAACTCGGCCGACGTTTTTGTAAGTTTAGGTATGACCGAACACGCCTACTGGGCCCAAGGGCCCAGCCCGGGTCCTTTTCCCTAATGAAAATAAAATAATATAAAAATAAAAAGATTGGAAAACTGGTTAGGAATGTAGGCCTTGATTAGGTTGTTATATTTCAGTATTAGAATTAGTTTAGTGTCATTTAGCTTCAGATGAATTAGTTTCTTTAAAAATTGAACTCGATTTGAAATAAGCTCATGGGAGTTGCTGTTCCGGGGCTTCTCGTATTGGTTACTTTGGTGGACTTCACCTTTTTATTCATTTCATTACTATTCTTGATTTGCTTGTTTGTTGTGATTGCTTTCATATGGTTTTTTGTGCTTTGATTCATTTTCTTAGTTGAATAATTAAGTTCCATCTTAGGATCATAATAAATACAAGAACATCGCATGGACACTTAGCGACAAGGACCTTAGGATTCATAATTGGATAAGAAGAGTGCATGGACACCTTCGTTAACAAATACTAAATTTTAGGTGCCGAAAGGGCGGTACTTAGATAACTAGTGGCGACTCCTTCACACGATAGAATTCTCGTAGGGTCGATCCAATATAAATGAAAATCCTCGTGCGAGGTAAGGATTTGGGAGAAACCGCGCCGAATGAGAACAATTCGTTCCCAACTCGGCATTACCTCTAAACTTCTTCCTTTTTCACCGACGGAAAAGAGGGTCGCGACATGGAACAATGGAAAATCTTTGGGTTTGTCGGACACATCCATTCACGATGTGCTGGAATTATGGCCCTCTCTATATTTTTAGTGATTTGATGGGCCATCTTTATTATAGCTTTTCTTTTCTGGATTGTAGATACATAGATAAGCATGCAATCAGCCATTGGAAAAATTGGCAACATTGCTATTCTCTTGATTCAAGAACACAGAAAATTTGGGATTATGTTGGGGACACTTATGTTCATCGGCTTAATCAATCGAAAGCTGCTGGCCAGCTTTCGGAGATGAATTTGAACCACTTGAAGGAGATTGTGGTAGCTGTGGTTGTAGAGAGGATTTCGAAATTAGTGGGGCTCTCATCAGTAGCAAAATTGAAGCATTGGGTTCATGTGCCCTCGTATTTGTATGCTGTGAATGTTTTTGTTAACCAATTCTACTTTCCATGCAAAGATTTGGAGTTTGACTCAGTTAAGTGAGATGTTTGAAGTTTCCAGATGCATGATGCCTTTTCCGTTTTAGTTGCTGACAGATGACAACGCAAGATTCTGTTTCGGGTTTTCGGGTTTTCTGCTTGACATGTTCATTTTGTTGGCCAGAGGTCACATGTTCATTATTGGGCCTGCAATATGTATATTACCTCCGTTGTAATTGTGTGATTTTCCTCGTTTACTCTGATACTAAAGATATACCTTTTTGCAGATGCACGCCGGCTATAATCATCTAACTTCAACTCAGCTGGAAGCGCAAAAAAAAGTAAGCATGCCTGTACCTAGCCAATCTCAATTCTCCCTGTTTAACGTAGTCTTTTACATTTTATTTTTTTTCACTAATCAGCCACAGTTAGATGATTTTATTTTTTTGACGAATCAGCCACAGTTATATGCATTAGTCGTGAAGCTCTCACTTGTGTTTTGCTTTAGGTATTCAGCGGTTCTCAGCACACATATTCTAGGAAAAAACCATACAGAACATTTGTTTAGTTACTTCTGATTCAAAAGTGTTTCTCCATTTCTTTGTTTTTTTTTGAAGTGTGCTCATTGTACTCTTGAACCTTCAATGGATGTCAGATATGTTGCAAAGAGAAGGAAAGTTAATACGCTTCTGTTGTGTAATCTTAGTTTCATTCACTTCTTTTGTCAAGATAAGATAATGGTTTCTTCTCATATTCTATTTTAATTCTGGTTAGGATTTGATATAGTACGCACAATTTTATACCTGTAACTCTGCAGACTACATGTGTCTAATGAGCTTATAGAGGCGATACAAAAGAATTAGTGGGCTTGCATCAGCTCCCGAGAATTGCAAAACTCCCACTGTTCTTCTAGTATTCTTTTTTTTCCCCCTTAGCGAAATGTTTGTTTGGTAGAAAGTCAACTGGATTGCCATGGGGTGACAGGACTCTTTTATTTGTTACTTCTCGTGATACATAGCGTTAGAAGGAACGGTATCTGAACAGAAAACTTGTTAATTTATCGGAAGTAGAATTACAAAAGACATTAGATTTTTCATCAATTGCCCATACTACTGTTGGTGATTTACTTGTTTCTAACACCGGTTTATCATTTTTGTTAGATAGACTGCCATCATGCTTAGACCGACTTTAAAGAAACATTTATGTCCTTGGACATATCATCCCCTATTAATTCTTCTGTTTACTCTTATTTTTCTCTTTCTAGCATTATGAATCTCATCTGTTAGAAGCGAAAAGTAGAAGAGAAACTTCCAAACTGAAAGCAGTCGAGAAAGCAGTGACTTCAAAGATTCAAGACATCCGTACTAAGCTGGAGAAATTGGGTGAGGAAAAGGCGGCCTTGGCAGAGGTAAGGGATTACCTATTGCGGCTTTAGATGTTTCAAACATGAGAGGAGGGTTGCCTGGAGCCATGGCTGATTGTTGTTCTGCTTGTTCTTCACATGCATTCTCATTTTCAATGTCACAATCAGATGCAATAGTTTTCACTAGGACATGACAGTAACAGATCTTGCTCCTTGTGGTCCCCAGCATAATCAGACTCTTATCAAGAACCAAGATCTGATGCGGAAAAAGGTTAAGGAAATTGAAGAGAGGTATGTTTCCTTGCTTATTTCTGTAGACAAATCTAAATAACGATATCTGTCAACAGTGACACAGGCTAAACATCCTGTGCACCCTGGGCTTTTCCTCCGCACACCCACACACAAATCCTTTGGCTGATGTATCTTACCATATCTTCTAATAAGCACAGGTTTAAAAGTTAGTCTATCAAATTAATTTATGGGCAGAAAATAGTTAATAAGCAAAAGAATCCCATACCATCCATACAACATAACCAGTAAAATAAAGCAGCATTGAAGTAGTAGTTCAATTAAGGGAGGATGGTCATGAGAGAGGAAGTTGGAACAGACTTTTGAGAAGATGAGAAAAAAGTGAGGATGGTATTATGAAGAGGAAAAGTTCCAATAGCATGAACTTTTAGAAGACATCAAATATTGAGGTAAAAAGGTGAAAGTTGGAAGGAGAAAGAGGAAATATAGCAGTGACCTGTAAGACATCATTAAAGGCAAAAGGACGAAAGTCATTTTGTGCTGAGTAAGAATTTATCGAATAGTTATTACGCCTGCCTTTCACCATACTTAGGAGGGAAACAACCAAGTTCGAGTTAATCACTGGTTGAAGGATGCGGCAAGAAGATGAAGTAGCTATGGGTAGTTTTTATTGAAGAAGTTCTAAAACAGTTTCGAGATGGGACAAGCTCTAATAAGGGAAGGAAAGAGACAAGATAGGGAAAAAGAAGAAAGGAGAGAATGCACCACTATGGAGAAAGTTCCTTGTGTCAGATCTCTATTATTTGGTTCCTCTGTTATATATGCTTTATCTGTAATTTTGTTTCCTTTGAAGTTTTAGTGCTACTGCTTTAGAGGTTGAACTTTATCGACAGAACTTTAATGTTGAAAACTTCATGGTCAAGGTTCGAGTGGTTCTGGACTAAAATTTAATTGATACAGTTCAACATTGAAATTTTACTAATTCCCATTGAAGTTCAATTGGTTGTTCATGTGGCCTCTTGTTGAAATTTCCAACATCCAGAGAATAGAAAATAAGGGAAAAGATGATACACTTGGTAGAGATGATGCTTATTTGAGATCGACATGTCAAGCAACGTAAATGTATATGACTTTTAAGTACCTTAATGTGCATATGACATTTTCTTTGAAAAAAATATTTATTCAGCATTTTGAAGTACACTCATCTTGTCCATCTTCATTGAAGTTATGTGGGCTAATCTTCCTGGATAAGCATTATATTTGATTGTACCCATGTCACTTCCACATTAGATGAGTCCAGGTCAATTTAAAATTGTCAGGGGAAGTTAATCTTGCCTTTTGATTGACATAATGAAGCACATATTTGCTTTCTTTGCATTTGCAGGAAAACTGTGTCACTGAAGTCAAAGGATGAGAAGACACATGACTTGAAAGAACAGGTTACTTTGAAACTCAAATCCTTATGGTTTTCATATAATATTTCCATCTCCGTGTGTGTGGTGTGTTGACAATAGTTTGTTTTTGGTCATCCTTACCAGATCAGAGATCTTGAAGTGTTTATCAAAACCCAAAAAAAAGTCGCCAAAATGGATGATAAGGACGGCGTCAAAGGAGGAACCTTGTTACCGGTCCCTTTGGAGCCATCAACCTCAGCCAAAAAGAAGAAGAAGACCATTCGAAGAAGGAAATAAGCTGGCGTGTTGGTCTGAACCTTGTTCCATCAGCGTTGAATGCCATCATGGTAAAAGAGTGACCCTGTGCATCATAGTCAACTCTTGACCCCATGTTGTCATAAAGCCAAGCCTTAATAATCCCATCTGTTGCTGTTGAGATGATGAACTACACAAGAAAAAAAAATGTATAATCAATTTGAACAGATAGATGACTTCTTCAGACAGAGCAAGGGGCCCGGGGAGGTGCTTAGTGAGAGAATCAGAATAAAGACAGGTAAAAAGTTGGAAGACTTGCAAAGCCCTTGAAATCAACAAGGTCCACCAAAACTACAAATTCATCCTTCTCATACAAATCGAACCAAATTTTTTCACCTTACCGAGTTTAAGCAGGTACCTGAATATTTTCTGTGGTGGGGACATACGGAATTCACAGGTGCTTCATGACCCTCCAAACTGTGTTGCTTCGCCTCAGTCACTTCATCCCATACCTGCATAACTACTAGCTTGCGTAAAGGGAATCAAACAACATAACACTATAACACTGGGGTAAACAATCAGAGTATACCTTGATCGACCCGTCCTCTCCACAGGTAATAACACAACCGTTTGTTTGGATATGAAAAGGCAAGATCATTTACACTTCCAACATGAACCTCGATCTGTATCAGACATTATTTTAGAGTCAAAATCAAGTCAACTCACACTTAGGAGGCAATTGTCTGCAGATCAAAGAAGCTTAATTTTTTTCTCCATGCTTAGCAACAAACCTCCGGGTGGTTCCTTATGTCATCACCGGCATGGTATGAGTATATGTGCACCATGTGTTTGGAATAAGCAACTCCTAAAGAGAACACCACAAATCATCAGTAATAGCAGCATATAAACATTTTTTCTTGAAAATATTGCAAGGAAGTCTGGTTCTGGGCGCTTTAGTTTTTTCATCAGTTTGCAAGTATGTATTGCCTAATTCCGAAGTTGAGATACAAGTAGAAGTGACATCATAACATACCAAAATAGATTCCATGGGGACTCCGCACTACACAGTTAACTGATGCTGTATAATCATTGGCCAGAGATGCCAACAAAAAATCAAAACCCATAATTACATGGCCAGAAAGAAAAAACCAAAATTTTACTTGGAATTGAACTCTATACCTGCAGTGCCATTGAGCATGTTCCCAGATCCCAAACCTGGAAATTTCTTACAGCAATCCTTGCACGGCTGCCTACCTGCCACACCATGACATCACCCCCATATTTGTTCCCACTAGAAATTATTGATGGAGAAACTTTGAAGAATCATATCCCATGGTTTCAAATAGCTGAGGCTAGTGTCAAAAGGACAACAAAAACCAATCTACCGAGCACCCGAACTGCAGTGGGTTTAACAAGTTGTTCTTTTCACAGGAGAAAAAACAAAAACATAAACAGAACAAAATATACAAAAACACACGGAAATGAGTAAATGAAACAGAACAAAACTTCATACAATTACAAACAGAACCGAAACACCATAGCACTAGCATTTTGTGACTGGGAAAAACACAAGATGCGCAAAATCAAATAAAGCAGATTAAAGAACGAGAACGCTAACAGAGATACAAAAATATAAAAACAGCAAACAAGAAGGAGAATGCGGTAGCACTAGCATTTTACGACTGGAAACTCTTTACACTCGCTAGTCGTTAAAATTGTAATTTAAGAAACATTATAAGTGTCGAAGAAAAGTCACTACATAAACTTTATCGATTGAAAATTTTTGAAACTTAGCGGCTCAAGATAATCTTATCCCATTACAAGAAAATAAATGTCATATTTGAAAAAAAATAAAGTTCGAAACTTAGCGGCTCAAGACAATCTATTCTTATCGTATCTTGTTGATGATTGGAGGACGATGACCTCGGCTATTTCACCAGCCCTTTGTTTTGTTGTAAGTTAAGACGTATGAAACCTTAGGTTTATCTCAACTTCATTCAAATTGAGAACAGTTCCATCTACACATCCATGCCATCGTTTGAGGACCACCGAGGCATTCAAGAGGAGCCCAAAGCTCGAAAAACTTGTTCCCGTCACAAGCGACTCTAACCCAGAATCACAAATTCAATAAGCTCGGCGTTTAGTTCAGCTCTAGCTTATCTAATACTGATACTGATGCATTCGACCTCCAAACGTCATCTTCTTTCTTGAATGTGTGGCAGTACTTTGAACGTGAAAGATAAAAGTCAAGTGAGTAAAATCTCTGGCGAGTACTCCTTGCATTTTGAGCCCTACAAAACTCATCAGAAGGGAAACTTGAATGTCGGCAGAGATCATCGTTCACTATCACTACTAATAATCAACTGTGCGTTGGTTGACCCGGTGGGATTTCATGTCGTGTTTGATAAAGCACTTCGCATGAGAACGACATAAAGCGAAAGGGCCAGGTTTGTGGGATTCGGTCGCACAGTCCATTTGAAGACTCAGTGATCTCTGTCTCTTGCAAAATCAAGTAAAAACCTGTCATCGGTAGTTCGCCGTCATCTCATTGTTGTCCTGACTGGTTACCTTTGATCGACAAGCCACGATGATGTAAGCAACAACCAACCTTGACGGCAACGACGATGAAGAGGCAACGACGATGAAGGGATTATTCACTAAATGATGTCATTCATTCACACATTCAATCAAGATGGATCCGGGTTTGGAGTGTCCACGTTAAAGTAACATAAAAAAATAAACTGCTCTACTATGACAGAATTGTTGAATTAGTCAAAGTATTTGTTTGTTTGTTTTTTTTTATAATAAAGCCTAGTTGGTTGTCCTAGTTTATAGGAATCTGTTGCAGCATGTTTGTTGCTGCACACCCGTTCAGGATAGTGGGTAGATAGTTCAGCATAGTGGGTCAATTGTTATGGCTACTTTTCTGGGATTTTCTGTTGATGTATGGCCTATCTAAAAGGCTAAGTTGTTATTCAATTATGACGCATGAATGCAGTAAGCATTTTTTCACGGGTGTACACTCTCTTCTCTTTGACTCTCTTTTCTGTGTTTTTTCTTTGTGCTTGCAAAGCATAGCCAGCTTCTGCACCTTTTCTGTAACAGTGGTATCAGAGCCATTAAAGAAGGAAAAGTGAGTTAAAAACACGAGAGGAAAAAGTGAGAGTGAAAGGCAGTAGCCAAAAAGTGAGCTTGAGTTGAAAACACGCGAGGAAAGATTTTTTCTTGGTATCCAGTAGCGGTGATGGCTTTAGAAACCTTTGTCCAACCCGCTATTCCACGCTTTGATGGTCATTATGATCATTGGAGCATGCTAATGGAGAACTTCCGAAATCCAAGGAATATTGGGATGTTGTTATCTCCTGGAGTTGCCGAACCGAAAGAAGGAGCTATGTTGACAAAGAAGACAACGGACGGCTCTGGAAGCAGCAAGATTGAAAGATCTCAAGGCCAAAAACTAGCTTTTTCAGGCCATTGACAGAGCTATCTTGGAGACAATTCTCTGTAAGGATACCTCCAAGCACATATGGGATTCCATGAAGAAAAAATATCAAGGTACCGCAAGAGCAAAAAGGCAGCAACTTCAAATGCTTCGTGGAGAGTTTGAGTTACTAAGAATGAAGTCGGGAGAGTCAATTACCGATTTCTTCTCTCGGACAATGGCAATTGTCAATAAGATGCGGATTCATGACGATAAGACGGAGGATGTCACCATCGTTGAGAAGATTCTTCGATCTCTGACACCAAAGTTTAACTTTGTTGTCTGTTCTATACAAGAAGCCAAGGACATTGAAGAACTCTCAATTGATGAACTGCAAGGGTCGTTGTTGGTTCACGAACAAAAGTTTCTTCAGCAAGAGCCGGAAGAGAAGGCGTTGAAGGCAACTACAGATCACTTTTCGTCAACAACAAGAACGAATAGTGGCAGAGGTAGAGGAAGGGGAACCAATGAACGTCGCAGTTTCAATCAAAAGCCTAATGGTCATTTTTCTCGTGATGCTCAAGGTGGAGGACGAGGACATGGAGGTCAGCACTCAACTGTTTTCAAACCAAGGTCAGTAGACAAATCTAGAGTAGAGTGTTTTAGATGCCATAGGTATGGACATTACAAATCTGAATGTCGTACCAATTTAAATACATAAAGCATGGAAAGGATTAATTTTGCGGAAGAAAAAGAAGAAGCAGTGTCTCTCCTAATGGTGTGCTAAGAAACGGAGAAAATTTCATCGAACCTGTGGGACATTGACACTGGTTGCAGCAACCATATGTGTGGAGACAAGAAGGCATTCTCTGCATTAGATGAGTCGTTTCGCACCTCAGTCAAATTTGGAGACGACTCGATTGTGTCAGTCAAGGGTAAAGAGACAGTTGCAATTGTTCCTAAAGGAACCTCGGTTCAGATGATCAAAGAGGTGTTTTATGTTCCTGAGTTAAAGACCAACCTTCTAAGTGTTGGACAATTGCAAGAGAAGGGATATGAAATTACACTCAAAGGAGGTGTTTGCAGAATCCATGATGAGAAACAGCATCTGATTGCTCAAGTTAATATGACTGCCAATCGGATGTTCCCGCTGCATCTTCATGGCACCTCTCACTCATGTTTCTCTGCAAGATTGAAGGATAAAGCATGGTTATGGCATTTCAGATACGGACACCTCAACTTGGTGGGTTGCGGACGTTACATCATAAGAAGATGGTGGAGGGACTTCCCCCATTCATGGCGCAATCCGAAATATGTGAAGAGTGTGTTGTTAGCAAACAACACCGAGATCATTTTCCAAGAGGCAAAGCATGGAGAGCCAAGAAGCACCTCGAACTTGTCCATTCAGATATTTGCGGATCAATTTCCCCAATGTCCAATGGAGGTAAACGATATATCATTACCTTCATTGACGATTTCAGTCAGAAGGTTTGGGCTTACTTTTTGCAGGAAAAATCTAAAGCTTTTGAAGCCTTCAAGAGCTTCAAAACTCTTGTTGAAAAAGAGAGTGGAAATCCAATCAAAGTTCTCCGCACAGATTGTGGTGGCGAATATATTTCAACTGCGTTCGCAGATTTTTGTGTGGAGCATGAGATTAAAAGACAACTCACTGCAGCTTATTCACCGCAACAGAACGGTGTCTGCGAAAGGAAGAACCGCACTATTTTGAATATGGTGCGAAGCCTCTTGACGTCAAGTGGAGTTCCAAAAAGCTTCTGGCCGGAGGCAGTCAATTGGAGTGTTCATCTTTTGAATAGAAGTCCCACTCTCGCTGTTTTAAATAAGACACCCGAAGAAGCTTGGAGCGGGAGAAGACCCACAGTTGATTACTTCAGAATTTTTGGGTGTCTTTCATATGTCCATGTTCCTGACCAGAAGAGGAAGAAGCTAGAAGATAAAGCAGAAAAATGTATTTTTCTTGGCATTAGTGATCACTCAAAAGCCTACAAACTTTATGATCCTATAACCAAGAAAATTACCATTAGCCGTGATGTGATCTTTGATGAAGAGAAATTCTGGTCATCGAGCGAGAAGAATGGTGGTGATTGTGGTGAACAAATTCCAGCAAACTTTGAAGATGATACTGAGCTGGAAAAGCAGCCCTCTACGAGTCAAGTCACCACAGAAAATGCTGAAAATTCAGCAGTTGCTGCAGCATCTGAAGAACGACCACAACGCATCCGACGGAGGCCGGCATGGATGGAAGATTATGAAGTGTCGAGAGTTGAGCAAACCGAAGACTCACTGATCCATTTTGCTTTGTTTGTAGATAGTGACCCAACTACTTTTGATGAAGCAGTACAAAATAAAAACTGGAGAGTTGCAATGGATGCAGAGATCAAAGCAATTGAGAAGAATGATACGTGGGAATTGACAGATCTTCCCGAAGGGCAAAAGACAATCGGAGTCAAGTGGGCATACAAGACGAAAATGAACAAGAATGGTGAGATTGAAAAGTACAAGGTGCGCTTGGTGGCAAAAGGTTACGAGCAGGAATTTGGAGTGGATTACAAAGAGGTGTTTGCGCCAGTTGCGAGACTCGATACAATCCGATTAGCGATTGCGCTAGCAGCACATAATTCATGGTTCATCTATCAGTTAGATGTGAAGTCGGCATTCTTACACGGTGATCTTCAAGAACAGGTATTTGTTCATCAACTTTCTAGATATGTCAAGCCGGGTAATGAACATAAAGTTTATAAATTGAAAAAGGCTTTATATGGGTTGAAGCAAGCTCCAAGAGCTTGGTACAGTAGGATTGATGCTTATTTTTTGAAGGATGGATTTACAAAATGTCCATATGAGCATACGCTATTTATCAAGATTGGTCATGGTGGAAAATTGCTTCTCGTGTGTTTGTACGTGGATGATCTTATCTTCACATGGAATGATAGTGTCATGATTGACACATTTAAGAAATCTATGATGGAGGAATTTGACATGACTGATCTTGGGTTAATGCATTATTTTCTGGGCATTGAGGTAAATCAATCTGAAGCTGGAATTTTTCTATCTCAAAAGAAATATGTTCAAGAGATTTTAGAAAAATTTCAGATGACGCATTGCAATTCGGTAACCACGCCAACTGAGGTTGGATTGAAGTTGTCGAAGGATCCTGATGGAAGAAAGGTAAATAGCACCTTCTACAAGCAAATCGTGGGGAGTTTAATATATTTAACAGCTACAAGGCCAGATATCATGCATCGTGTGAGCCTTATTAGCAGGTACATGGAGAATCCAACTGAAAAACATTTGCAAGCTGCAAAGCGAATTCTTCGCTACTTGAGAGGGACTACAACTTTTGGGTTATTCTATAAGAAGGGAGAAAAATCAGAGTTGATTGGTTTCACTGATAGCGATTACACTGGTGATATGGATGATCGAAAAAGCACTTCTGGTTATGTATTTATGCTTGGTTTGGGGGCTATCTCATGGTGTTCGAAGAAGGAGCCGATTGTTACTCTGTCAACAACTGAAGCTGAGTTTGTGGCTACCACCTCTAGCGCTTGTCAAGCTATTTGGTTAAGGAAGATTCTTGGAGAGCTTCAATTTAAACAGGAAGATGCAACTACAATCTATTGTGACAACAGCTCAGCCATTAAACTCTCAAAGGATCCAGTTCTACATGGGAGGAGCAAACACATAGATGTGAAGTATCATTTCCTGAGGGATCTCACGAAAGATAAAGTGATTGATCTTGTTTTTTGCAGGAGTGAAGATCAGCTTGCTGATTTGTTCACCAAGCCTCTCAAATTATCTGCATATCATAAGCTAAGAAAGCTTCTTGGTGTTTGTTCGTTGGAAGCTGCAGGTTAAGGGAGGGTTGGTTCTAGTCCTTTTAAACTGATTGTTTGCAACATCAGTTTAAGGGAGGGTGTTGAATTAGTCAAAGTATTTGTTTGTTTTCTTTTTTTTATAATAAAGCCTAGTTGGTTGTCCTAGTTTATAGGAATCTGTTGCAGCATGTTTGTTACTGCACACACGTTCAGGATAGTGGGTAGATAGTTCAGCATAGTGGGTCAAATGTTGTGGCTACTTTTCTGGGATTTTCTGTTGGTGTATGGCCTATCTAAAAGGCTAAGTTGTTATTCAATTATGACGCATAAATGCAGTAAGCATTTTTCCACGAGTGTACACTCTCTTCTCTCTGACTCTCTTTTCTGTGTTTTTTCTTTGTGCTTGCAAAGCACAGCCAGCTTCTGCACCTTTTCTGTAACAAGAATAAGGGTGTCAAAGATGCACAATTGTGTCTCCATGATTGATTGAGTCTTTATGATTAATTGTGTCTTTTTGGCTTTCCCCTGAAAGGGACGTGCTCAACATATGTTAATGGAAAACAGGAGGGTTTTAATAAGTGTAAGAAAATCGAAGTTCAAGGTGGTGAATCATAGTTTTTTAGTGTTCAGAATTTTAACGTACACCAATCTCAAATTTGAGGGGATAAAATGAGATTTTCTCATAAAATTAGGAACCCAATCATCGAGGGTGTGGTCTAGTGGTTCATGGTGCCACGTTGTCTTCCACGAGATCACATATTCGAGTCATGTGGTAAACGAACGTCCGATTGGCTTGTGCCTTGGACATTTGCTACCTCATGTGGAGAGATTTTCCCGAATTCTGGAACGCCGGTGGGGCCGTGGTGATGGGCTCATACATCTATGAATACACTGAGTAGTTATAACTAAAACCGAACATCTTCTGAGAGAGAGAGAGAAAAAGAAAGAGTGCGCGCGCGTGTGTGATTGCGCGCGCGCTGACTTCGAATTTAGCCTTTTAGTATGTCTCTATTGTGGCATCTTCTTAAGCGGCCACAATGGATGCCAATATGGACACTTAATGACTATTTGATGGCAGTAGTGTCCACGTTGGCGTTGGCATTTTCCTTCCGCAATTCTAACAAAAGCCTCACGTTGACTAGCATTTGAAAAATTAGGGTACTTTTTTTTTTTTGCTAGAAGAAAAATCAAGGTACTTGATTGAACAAAAAACAAGAAGTTTCGGCATTGGATTGTAAAAGGACAAAAGATCACGTACTTGTAGTTGCGGTGTCATTATCCAAATACAAATTGAAATTGGAGTAGATAGCGAACGAAAAGCCTAAGGATATGTATTCCGACCGTAAGTTTTTAGCTAATCTTCTCTCAACAAAGGAAAAAGGTCTCTTGGCATTACGTTCGAAGGATAAAAATTATACGCAGTACACACACGACATAAGTTTGTTAAATAAGGAAATTGACTGAAGATTTCCCGCTGCAGATTCACAACTCGTCATCGTTCCGGTAAATTGCAGCAGGCAACAACAAGGTGATTGGTGGAAATAAGCTAGGAAAGATCGAAAGTTGAGTTGGCAACTTCAAAGATCACAGTTCTTTATCCGGTAAGGCGAAGCACCAATAAGAAGCGGCTGCTCTTTTTTTTGGGGAAAAACAACAAAGATATGATTTCATTGAGATTATTCATAGTTTCGGTTGAAATATGATTGAGGAGGAAATCAGCTTACCACCCAGGATTTGTTTACATTTTAAATATTATTATTTTCCAGAAATCTAGTTACAATCTCTCTATCAGCTTCGTTAACTCAAAATTAGGAACGTCAAAGCAATCGGTCATCTATGTTATGATAAATCGATTAACGTACATTTGAATCTTAGGCCTTACTTAATGCTTTATTCTATACCGTTTATAGGCGAATGTCATGACTCTGGACTAGTCATGGCCACGGGCCGGTTTCAGCCCGGAACCGGCCCAGTCAAACCCGGGCCCGGCCCGTTGACTAGGCCCGCGGTTCGGAACCGGCCCGGAACAAGCCCGGTTACAAAAAAAAAATTAAAAAATTTAAATAAATAAATTAAAAAAAAAAAAACCCGCAGCAGGGGCCACTGCACGTCCGCGAGCCTGCTGCGCCCGTTGCCGGGGTAGCTGCAAAGGCTGCCTTGGCAACGGGCAAAAAAAAATAAAAAATAAAAAATAAAATAAAAAGACAACCGGAATCGGCCGGAATCGGAACCAGAACTGGACCGGAACCGGAACCGGCCGATTCCGGTTCATATGTGGCCACGAACCGGAACCGGCCGGTTCCAAACTGTGGCCATGACTACTCTGGACTAATGATGTTTAATTGTGTGATATATTTGGAAAAAAATAATGTGACATAAATGAAGTGATCTAATACTCCGACACAAAAGTTTGATATCTAATACATAATTAGAAAATTACAATCAATCTCACCTTTACTACCTTCCTACTAAATTGAAATCTTCGTTTTACAATGGGGCCACGCAAGTTTCCTTTTTGATGCGGCAAGTAGCCTATAAATGAATACCCACACGATATCACGCTCTAATATTTCTCAGCTGGTTGCAAAAGAAAACTCAAACCCTAGGTGCTCTCCGTTCGACCTCTCGTGGTTCTTCTCTCTTCGCCTCAAGGTAATAACCAAAATTTCTTTCTTCGTAGGTTCTGCTTTTTTAGATTTCGCATGCGTTAGTCGTGCTCGTGCGGATGGTTGATTGGATCTTTTTCCCTTTGATTGTAATCGGTTTTTCGCATCAATTGGAATTGTGCGATCGATCATCCATATCTGGTGTTTAAGAGTAGTGGAAACATAAGCCCTACTTACGTTTGCTGATCAGGCCTTTAATTCTAGTCGTTTGGTGCATCTCGGATATTTTAGCATTGAATCCGGTCGTTTCTCTACTTGCGAGGTTATTATACCTGTAAGCTAGTTCATCCAAATTAGGTTATGCACTCCGAAATTAGATTATGCCTGTGAGGTTACGTTTGTGGCTTGTTAACACAAATCGAATCTGGTCTTTCAATGCCCGTGAGGGTATGCAGGCTTGTTAATCCATTAATTGGTGAAAAGGAAAAGGGTCTTGCGTGTTTCTGGATTTTAACAATCGATTTTTCTTAGCTCTTGATTTTTGAATTCCGAAAGATGTCTTGTTTTTCCTGATTGATTGCTCTGTGTCCTAATTCTCTTAGATATAGTTGAGTGGCGGAGCCCTAGCGCCTGAAGTTTTCTTTGTTCGGTGGGTGGCCACCGATGGTTGTGCCTAGAGTTTATGATCGTGTTAACATGTCGGTCGATTTATTCTGACCGACTAATTCTGATTTCAGATGCAAATCTTTGTGAAAACCCTTACTGGCAAGACGATCACCCTTGAGGTGGAAAGCTCCGACACAATTGATAATGTAAAAGCAAAAATCCAGGACAAGGAAGGGATCCCTCCTGACCAGCAGAGGCTTATCTTTGCTGGCAAGCAGCTCGAAGATGGCCGAACCTTGGCCGATTATAACATTCAGAAGGAGTCCACCCTCCACCTGGTGCTCCGCCTGCGCGGGGGATTTTAAGCGTGTTCTGGTGCTTTTTAGAATAGCAGTGGATTGGTGTGCTGTCATTGTGTGATGGCTTTGAATAGGTGTTAAGACCTTCTGAAATTCCCAGCTTCCGTTGCTTTTTCTACGTCACGGTATCAAGTGTCAATGACATTCTCGCGAATGATTTCAGTTTCGTACGGTGGTTCCGAGTGCTGTTTCTTTATTCTGTGTAGTTTGTCTATCGTGTCATTGCCATTGCCATGATAAGGCGTGGCTTAACTAGAATCGTTCGTGTGCCGGTGGTGATATGGTCTTAACTGGGATATGTTCCACGACTCTTGACCGTGTGTTCCGATGCCATAAAGGTTCTCTGGCCTTGGAAAGTTTTAGATGAGCCCTTTGAAATTGTTCGCCGCAATCCGATGGATTTCTCGGTTTTATAAAGTATAACCAAATAAATTTCACTATCGTGCCGTCCGTCTACATTTTCATGTTGGCTAGGTCTCTTTGATGTCACATTCAATAGTACCCACTTTCTTGTGTTACTGGAATGCCCCCGACCGTTGCCATGGAAAAATTTAAATATTACACACGATGCCTCTTATAGTGAATGTGTCACGCCCCGATCCCCACGGGCATGCGTCATCCCACCACGGTCGTTAAGAATGCGATATCTCAGGACTTGTCGCCTACCCAAACAAACGAACTAAAGAGCAACACACGCAGAAGCAAATCGAACTCTCCATACAACATCAATTAAACGGGATAGTAAAGAGACAATGGAATCACATCCACAAAAAATACTTTTATAAACAAAGCGTTACTTACAAAATACAATTGCACAAGGTACAAGCCTTACTAGAGGCCACTATCTAGGCACTACACACAACAAAAATGATCGGTGGTTGGTTAGCCTAGCTTCTCTACCAAAAGAGGTACTCAAAAGACGGGGGACTAGACCTATCTTCAATCCCCGTGGTACCCTGGCAGCGGCCCCGGATCTTCCATGACATCATGGGGCTCGGGGTTTTGAAATGTTTATAATTCAACAATGAGAATAAATCTCAATAAGTCACTACCTAAGCCTCGCTTAGGCTAACACGTATAGCAGGACAGTTCGGAGCATGCAAGGTTTATCATTCAACGTGCCACAACAATCACAAGCGTCGTTACCTCGCCTTGGCACACACACAAGCCCTGCACGTTAGTATACAACCAAGACATGGCAACCATTCATCGCATATAACAACCCGAATCGGGGCAAGCACATGCATAGCACACTTAATAATCCGGACATGCCCAATAATAATCTCACATAACATACCACAATGCATATCACAATCACAAGGTCCAAATTATTAGCGGCCCCTCGGGCTCCCCGAACCCGCGTAAAATGCATCAGGCTATAGGGCTTCCGGCGTAACCGGGCATCGTCCCGCTACGTCGGCGACGGCATCGTCCTGCGTCACACGCATCCAGACGGCATTCCATGAGGAGCATCAACCCGGACTCCACCGCGATTGGCATCCTGGCCTTTCGGGCATCCGATAAATCGGGCATCGTCTCACGTAAAATGCATCAAGACGGGTTACAACCCCGCGTAAAACGCCTCAGGGTATTATGTGAGCATATGGGCATTCAACACTCAAACCAATTTCTCATCTTTCGATTAGCCAATTGCCATTCAATTCACACTTAGCTCACAACCAGCCACGCCCTCACGGGCAACAACAACATCAAAAAGCTCCCGAGAGAGAGAAACCACTTTTGCACAGAATCGGACTAAAATTTGGCAATTGCGCAGTAACCGAAACCCTTTCGAAATAAATAGTAATTCAACTCCAAAAATTCTGAATTTTAGATATGTCATTGGAAACATCTTGATGAACAATTTTTATGAGAACATGAAATCCAATTCCAACTGTAAACAGCTCTTTTTGTCATCCAAAGTCAGATCGAAAATTTACCCACCAGGGCAGACCGTTTGGCCTCCAAAATCCATATCTATCAGTAACCAAATCTCCTTGTAAAACCTTGAAATTTTTATATGTCATAGATACAAGTGTCCTTGACAACTTTTATGAAGGAAGTTTGTTGAAAAGAGGTCTGGAAAATTTTATAAAAATTCAGAAAGACACGCTGGTCGGGTGAACAGTAAATCCGGCAAAGTTGTGAAGGTCCGAATGGACTTCCGAATACCCAAAAAGACCTCCAAAAATTTCAGATTTAATATATGACATACGTCAAGATGTTAGGGTCAACTTCTATGAAGAACACTTCCTTAAATTCGGTCCACATTGATCTCCACAAAAATAACAAACCAACAGGGCACCTCAGCAATCAATTTGAGAACCAAACCAGCAACAACCAAGCACAACCAGCCATCAAACCAACTCTAATCCACCCCTAATCAGCCTCTAAACATGCCATTGATAACCCATTATCCTAATCAAGGCTTATGGAGCACTTACTAGGAGCATAAGCTTAAAAACTAGCAAGATCAGCCCAGCAAGCAGCTGCTATTCTGGCGGCCGAATGGGAACGACGGCGTCGGCTCCGGTCACGACGGTCCACGGCTGAGGCGAGCACAAGCTGGTGGTCATGGTGAGGGGTGGTGTTGGCTTTGGTGGTGACTGGTGAGGTCGGAAAATAGCAAGGAAAGAGAGGGAAAAAGAGAGGGTGTGGCGGTGTGGTGAAGCAGCGGCGCCGGCGGCTGTTCCAGCAGTTTCACGGTGGCGTCACGGTGGTTGGCGGTGGCTAAGAAGGGCTGAGCAGATCAGCAAGGTGGAGGGGGAAGGAACTTCGGCCGAAATGCAGGACAAGAGAAGAGAGAGAGTGAGCAAGAGAGAATGAGAGAGAGAGAGTGAGAGAGAGAGAGACAACATGATCTGAATTTTTCTACTAACCCCACTAACAAAACTCCATCACCCACTCCACTCACCAATCCAAGAGCTAAGATTAAACTTCCCATCTCATCATCCAAATCCAATAGTCAAGATTGATCAACTCCACTAACTCTTAGGGGCAAAAGAGGAAATGAGCAAGAGGAGAGAGGGGCATTATGTTCCAATATTTTCGGCCAGCATGGGGGCAGCAACTTTACCAAAATGCCTTTCCACTTTTCAAATGAACTCAAATAATCCCATGGGCAAAATGGTCATTTTCTACTCCCGATTCAAATTTCACTTTTCCGACAAATCCGAGTGGCCCTAAGGTTGGCCACGCCAAATGTGACGTCGACCAATGAATTAGTCGTGGCTTTCGAGAAATTCGATTCCCAAGTCCGGATTCCAAGTAATGGTCAAATTCGATTAAATGCAACTTTAGTGTGTCTCAAACTAACGGGTGGCTTTTGGGAGTTACGCGTATGGACTCGTGGCCAATTCGATATTGGGCCACATCTAAGTTTACTCGAGCCATGGCGATCTCAGTTGTCCTGTAATTGCGAGGGTCAATCACTAGTTCCAATTGACGTGATCGTTCGGAAAAGGTTTAGGATCGTTCGAAATTCATACAATGGTCAAGCGGAATCACCTGCAATCCAATTGTATATCATTTACGAATCGTTCCATAGCCATCCTTGGATCGGTTTATAATGGCCCAAAATATTTCCTCGTCAATCCTTATGGTCGAAGTGTCGATCCACGGCCAAGTTCTTAGGTCCACGTACTTGATTCTTAGCTAGCCATCCCTAGCGGTTAGTCTTCTCAAGAGTGATTAATTCTGAGTGAAATTTAACTAAAGTGCATCGATGAAATAATCATTTCATAAATCCCGAAAATGGGTCGAATTTCAGAATGTTACAGAATGATTATTAAAATATCATTATTTTTCTTTAGAACTGAGTACGGGGTACGGAGAATAACTCGAATATCCTTCCATATTATGCCGTTTCGTCAATTGTAAGCCAACGCACCACACTAAATTTTAGTTGCTTATAACAAAAGATAAATTATAACTTTTCTCAAGTCACTTCATAATATGTTTTTTTTTGGTCGAAGTCACTTCATAATTGAATCGAAGTATTGCCGTCAAAATTAAATATTTACTTTTTGGAATTGTCTTATATGTGATGATGAAACTCCAAGGTTTGATTTAATACGAAATAAGTTTGATGGACGCAAACAAAATTAATTTAAGAAGATATACTCGTGAAAGGCATTTTATATGAATCGATAAGAAGAAATTAAAGGAAACGATTCTGGTAAAGGAAACCGACTTTTGATCAACAAATCTATTGCGGATTCCTTTATCAGACTAATTCTTTGTTTGCTAACATAAACTATTTCGATAAGCAAAACTAAGTCTATACAAATAAAACTAATTTTACAGAATTATGTGCCTTGTTTTCGCGTTTAGAAAAAATAATAAGAGAAAATATATGAAATTTTATTGTCAGCGATGCTAGGACGAATAACAAATTTACACGTGGCACAATTACTGACGGCCGTCTTTAGTACACTTGTTAGTGAGGTACATTTTTCTTAGGAGAATCATCATTTAAATTACTTAATATCATTTGATGATAATATTATGTCATTGTTTTTTGTTATTGTGCATTTGATTTTCACATAATTGTTAGATTAAAAAAATGGATTGCATTTTCCATTTTTGAATATTATTTCAAAATAATAAAATAAAATCAAAGTAAAAACAACAAAAATATAATGACGTGAATTTATTCATCGGGAAATTTATAAGAACAAAAGAAAAAACAATCTCATGGGTCAAAAGATAAGCTCGAAGTAAAAGAAAAAAGAAAGATTACTTTATTTTTTATTAGATTGAAAAAGAAATAGAGATGTAAAATTAAAATAAAGAAAAAAGAAAGGAGAGTCTCATGTGGGTTGCAAAAAAAAAAGAAAAGAAAAGAAAAGAAAAGGAATAATTTTAGAAACAAATGAAGAACGGAAATAGTACGTGCGAAATACAAAAATAAAAATGAAAAGGTTAAGGGTACCTTTTATTTTCTTATTATTTTACAAGCCCCACATATTATATGGTGCAAGCTCAGGTCACTCTCTCACTTGCTGCCAATCAGAGCCTGTTGCCACAATGCATTGTTTCTGCTAAGTGAGTAATCCCCAATCATAATGGTCTCTTATCTTTGTTTCTACTAAACATTCGATGGTACACAGAATAGGGCACGCCTCGAGGTCACCGCAGCAAGTCTGGCCCTCCTCTTTGTCGTCGCCTCCGCCGCCTACCGGACCACCATCACCATCGTCGAGTTCGACAATGAGGCCAACCCCGGGCGTGGCGGCGGCGGCGGCCAGCAATGCTGCTAGTGCATCTCCAGGTAGTAGCTCCGCCAGTGCATCTCCAGGTAGTAGCTCCGCCAGTGCAAGCACTACATTACCCAAGGAAGGTAAGCATTCGTCATAATCTCGCTATTTTTGTTTTGTTTTTGTTTTCGGTTTGTCAACATGGTAAAAGTAAAGTCATAGGGGTTTCATCGTGTTGCCGAGGCCCGAGGGGAGTTGGGAGTGCCACCAGCAATGCTGCCAGCAACTGAGGTAGATGGACCAGCAATGCCGGTGCGAGGGGCAGAGGCAAATTGTGTGGGAGCAGCAGCAACAAGGCGAGCTTTAGGGATGTGGTCCAGAGGGCCTAGAACCTGCCCAACATGTGCCGCCTCGGTCCTCAGCACGACGACATTAGCCCCTATGGCGATGGCTACTAGAGCCGAAGGGCGAAGGTCCGAGTTTGACGTTTCTATTCAATTAAAAAAATGGTTTCCACAAGGAAGTGTGCAAAGAGGGTAAAGAAAAAAATGAGCGCTTCATGTTTATTAACGGATCCCCAAGGAGTATTTCAGGTCGAGAAGGTCCTCTGTATGATTTTGATTATCTACAATGTAATCTATCTAGGTATCTATCTAAGAGTAAATAAAGCCAGGGTCTATCCCCACAACCCATCATCTTCGACTCATGATAGCGAGGAGACGTGAGGACAGCGAGGATCAATTTCACAACTGGCCTTCCACCTTGACACGCTCGCAAACTTAATCCATCATTTTTTAAACATCAAATCATAAAAATGTAGGAGTAAAAATTCGGAATAAATGTTACTATTTAACTATAATTGAATTGAATCGAGCTAAGCTAAGCTCGAATCAAGTATGCGAATACCCCATGTCTTAAGAAAGAAAGATGATCGGATTAATTGAATTAATCGTCGAGTAATGTTCTATATGCTACATTTATTAGGTAATATCAAGCCTAACCGGCATAACAAAGATAAGAGACCGTTATGATTATAGCTGTAGGGTGGAGCTGTCGCAGGTGACTGTGTCTGCTTTTCTGTGTATAATCGAATATTTTTTCTAATGGCCCAAGAGATTAGCGAAATCCGGAATCATCCTGTACAGACAAGAGGGATTGAATTGATTATAAATTCAATACATTTGCATGGAATCTTTACATGATCCTTAATAATGCTTATTTTACATGGAAGTGTCAAGAAGATATCCAATTTTTTTTATATGCAAATGTCAAGAATATATCTAATCTTTATTTTATATGATCATGTATTAGCCTGACAACTATATATCAAATCAACCAAGAATAAATTTCAGTCACAGTTCGGGGTCGATGGGTACGTTCTAAAGCACGCATGCCCTGTAGTGGGGCCTGGGATGGTGGAAACAAGAGGTTTCAAGTGAGACCACATCCCTTGGCAATGCTTTAGAGCACGAATGTAAGCCTACATGAGAAATGCACCCACGAGATCTAAAATAAGTTGATATGTGTTGTATCTCTGAGCAGGAGAGAGAAGAGTTTTTAGAAAAGTGTAGGAAAAAAGGAAGTGGTTTCCTTGCGTCGCAAATTCGACTCTCTACTTCCATAATTGAAGCTCACAAAAGACTTCGTTCCTTTAGTCAGGGCACCAATGATTTAAAAAAAAAAAGAAATTAAAATCCAAGAAAAAAAAATTCATGGGATTGAACCCACTTATCTATGAGAGTGCGCAAAGGCGTATGCTTCATGTTTAGTTCATTTAATCAAGAGTCCTTTGAAATTTTTTTTTTCCGAAAACACGTTTTTTGGGGGAAAAACAGAGATTACTTAAGCTCGTGTACAAGAACGAAGGCACCGTCATGATAAGTTTCATTTTATCAGGCTTTTCATATTAACATTATGGTTACTTCTCCCTAGGCCCCAGTAATTGCCTTGAAAAACAGTCTGTCGAGACAAATTTCAGCAATGATTCCGAACGGTGAACGTACTTTTGAGCACATTTACTGGCATCCCTCGAATTAATCAATATGATGGAGTCATCAAAATATGCAACCAGATGAGAACAAAAAAATTGCAATGTTCGATCACCGTGGGATTACAAGTGTTGAGATGTAGTATACTCACCTCCTTTAAGAGGAACTGATGGAGGTGTCGGTTGATGGAGGGCCAGAATAAGAACCATGCGCCAGGCAGTCCTGCCCAAAGGGTAGCCCTTCCCTTGGCTTGCACGCAAAGAGAGATATGGCCTCCTTTTTAACTTTTAGAATTTCTTCAAGGAATTATCACTTCACAATGAATATATAACAACAAACCCATAAACCAAACAAAATCAAATAGTGAACAACGGAATGATGGAGTATTGAGTGTAGAGATTATTAAATGAAAATTTAGATAAACTTGCCAGATACGTCAATACAACGAATTTTGAGGGAAAATATGAGTATGGACATGATAAGGGATCAAAATTCACAGCCTCTCTAAGTAAGAGTACATCGACTGATATGGGATCTCGCTCCTAATTCAATCCCTCCAATCTCTTTGGGCAATGCCAAAACCATCTAAAATTATTTAGAAGTTAATTTCTCATCAAATATGCATAGCTAAGGCTCCTTGTTGAGAGGCAATTACGAGAGCTTTTCAAAAAGAAATGCTTAGACTATATATTTTTTTGAGTCCCACTCAAGCCCAGTTTTAGTTCTGAAGCCATCCGCTATTTAGCATGGTTGTTGTGATTCCGATGTAATTAATATGTCATATTTGTAATTCGGATTTGTAGGTTTGAGTTGGTGATGACGGATAAATAAGTTTCGATTTCTCGTAATCCCTCTGTCATGGGAGATGAGGAAGGTTGAGATTTTCTTGTGCATTGTGTATATGGAGCTCGATGTCAATGAAATCATTGCTTAACTGAGCTCAATCATTTATGCCTTTTTCGTAACATTCGGAGCAGGTTGTGTCGAGTTTAAATCTTTCAATGCCCCTTAATTGCCTCTTTCTATATATATTGCCATGCTCTAGTATTAAACTCCAACCTACGGAAAAAATGTTAAAACATTAAATATTAAACCCCCGTGTTCCACACAGAATCTTACGTTCTCAAACGGGGAGATTGAATCTACTTACCCTAGATATAACTTGGAAATAAGGACTGCCCAAGGAAGTTTCGATGTTCATTTGATTTTCGGGGAAAATTGACTGGAAGGATTCCATTGGAATTTTGCGCAAAAGGTTTAAGACTAAATTGACAAAATTGAAAAGTTTCGGACTAAATTGACATCCGCTCAATATCTTTAGGACTTGTTAGGAATTTTCCCTTAATTAGCTTGCCCTCATATGATAGGGCCTATCCAATTTCATTTTCAATGCACATATGCTTGGTTTTATTGAGTAAAATCCCTCGAGAATTCCTGTTCCTACCCAAATCTCTCATTATGAATCATCACCTCGTACAGCTAACAATTCAATAAACTCAATAGCTAGAGCTTGAGTTTGCACTCAGTTCACAAATCCTCTATTAGCTTCGTTAACTCAAAATTGGGAACGTCAAAGCAATCGGTCATCTATGTTATGATCAATCGATTAACGTACATTTGAATCTTAGGCCTTACTTAATGCTTTATTCTATACCGTTTATAGGTGAATGTCATGACTCTGGACTGATGATGTTTAATTGTGTGATATATTTGGAAAAAAATAATGTGACATAAATGAAGTGATCTAATACTCCGACACAAAAGTTTGATATCTAATACATAATTAGAAAATTACAATCGGTCTCACCTTTACTGCCTTCCTACTAAATTGAAATCTTCGTTTTACAATGGGGCCACGCAAGTTTCCTTTTTGATGCGGCAAGTAGCCTATAAAAAAATACCCACACGATATCACGCTCTAATATTTCGCAGCTGGTTGCAAGCTCGGTCACTCTCTCTCTTGCTACCAAATCAGAGCCTACTGCCACAATGCATTGTTTTTGCTGAATGAGTAATCCCTAATCATAATGGTCACTTATCTTTGTTTCTACTAAACATTCGATGATACACAGAATAGTGCACGCCTCGAGGTCACCGCAACAAACCTGGTCCTCCTCTTCGTCGGCGGCTCCGCCGCCTACCGGACCACCATCACCATCGTCGAGTTCGACAATGAGGCCAACCCCAGGTGTGGCGGCGGCCAGCAGTGCTGCCAGTGCATCTCCAGGTAGTAGCTCCGCCAGTGCAAGCACTACATTACCCAAGGAAGGTAAGCATTCGTCATAATCTCGCTATTTTTATTTTGTTTTTTTGTTTTGTTTTTGTTTTTGGTTTGTCGACATGGTAAATGTAAAATCTTAGGGGTTTCATCGTGTTGCCGAGGCCCGAGGGGAGTCGGGAGTGGCGCCAGCAATGCTGCCAGCAACTGAGTTAGATGGACCAGCAATGCCGGTGCGAGGGGCAGAGGCAAATTGTGTGGGAGCAGCAGCAACAAGGCAAGCTTCAGGGATGTGGTCCAGATGGCCTAGAACCTGCCCAACATGTGCCGCCTCGGCCCGCAGCACGAGGACATTAGCCCCTATGGTGACGGCTAATAGAGCCGGAGGGCGAAGGTCCAAGTTTCGGGTTTCTTTTCAATTAAAAATATATACCATGTCAATCAATTATCTGGAAGATAGAAAGAACGAAGTAATATGTCTCAGGACCAAGTCTAAGTCAGGAAAGGAGGCAAAGGGGAGCATACCACTGAAACATTCCAAAAGGAAAAGAAAAATACCACAAAGTTCGCCGTAGAGGAGCGTTCTATGTTATAATTCTGCTACATCTACTAGTATCGACTATCCGCAAAGAATAATTATGGTAGCTTCCCAATCCACACAAGAACAGTCCGACAGAGGAAAAACATTGCCCAATAAGTTTACATACAATGAAGAAGTGGTAGAATATATTAATCAAAATCCTTTAAACAAAGGAGAACAAACATTGATGATTGATGGGGGAAGTAGAATTTCAATACCTATCTAGAATAATGCACATAATCGGCAGAATTGTGCTGACTACAACTTCATCAAGTTAATGAGTCATACAATGAAATTGTGGGAGGTGCAATCGCTCATAGGTTGAGGAAAAGAGACCCCAAATAGAAAAAGATATGATTATGTTTACAGTTGTGACAATACAAGAAAAAAAAGTTACCTCACTTGTTGCATATACTTCAGTATTAAAACCAATCTCCTCACCATTTTGATTGGAACTAAAACCCCTTGGTTTCCCCAAGTATATTCCTGTTCAAACAAGGAAATAACACACAATCATCCATATCATACTTATAAAAATTCAAGCACGAAAGACAAATAAATATTGGAAACTAACCGCCTGTGAGCTCCCTTAAAACCATTAGGTCAACACCTTCAGCGACCTCTTTTTTCAAAGTTGAAGCGTTGACTAACTGGGAAGGAAGATCCGTATAAAAGAGTGAGACCATCTCTTCAGTGATTAAGGTAATACTAGAACAAGTGCGTTCAGAAATATGCAAATAAATCAAATATGGTCAAGGAAGAAGTATGACTTAAATAAGAAGCATAGCAAACCAACAAATACAAGCTATCCAATGCCGCACAAAAGAAACAGAGGCAGCTTGTATGAAATATTTAGTCCATAAAACATTAAAAAAGATCATGAAATCGGGCAATCAAGAAAGTGGTCTAAAAACAACCTGAGGTAATACAGTTGCTGGCCGTAAGTTTGCAAATACTTTAAGACCTTCTCTTAATTGAAGCAGCCCAGTTTCTGGCTTCAAAAGTTTTTCGTTATTGTCCCACTTATACCTTAGTATAATAAAAAAGAAAACAAAAAAGATTTATGACAGAAGGCAGGAATAGTATAGTTAAGAAGGAAAGATTACGTGGACGAAAATTTCCCTCCAATTGCTCCAAGAAGAACAGCATCAGATTGCCGAGCTGCCGATAGTGTCTCATCTGGCAATGGAACTCCAGTCAAGTCTAAAGCGGCTCCTCCCAAAGGCATCTCTTGGAAACCAAATTCAATACCTAAGATATAGTACATACAACACTGAGAAGCTGAAGTCCATCTCAAGATCCTATCAAGAGTTGGCAGTCTTTTTAAAATGGCTAACCAAGATATGAAACCAAATCTAGGAACATTGGGAGAGAACCAACTTAATTGATGCCAATCCACTTTTGGTCTTCTATTCCTAAAACGTTCCGAAGAAATAGAAGAATTCATTACACCAGTAGAAGAAGTAGTGCAAAGAACTTTGTCATCCACTGAAAAGTTTGGGGAAATAGTTCCCCAAAGGGCAGCTTGCGTAGCCACCAACTCATCTGATCTGGCATGAGGCCAGTGCCAATCAGACTTTGAGATAATATCTGAAACCTTAGCAGTAATAGGTAGACTGGAGTCATATAAAACTCTCCGAGAATATACCTCCAATAGAATTCCATGGGGATGCCAATTATCTACCCATAAATATGTGGATTTCTCATTTCCTATGACATTTTTAATGACAGGAGCAAAGGTGCAATCAGCAGAGGCTGAAACAGACCCTATGTTACTCCTTCCCAAAGGATAGTGATAATCCGGGCAATCCAAAGAGAACCAGCCCAGCTCAATAACCTACATAGGCATCTCATAATACAATATATGTTCCATAGATCCAGTCCAAGCCCTCCCTTTTGCCTAGAAAGGCACACAAAGTCCCAACCAACATTAGAGCCACCACGAAGATTCTGCTCACCTTTCCAGAGATAAGATCGACATTTCTCGAGTGCTCTAATAACTTTCTTAGTCAAAAGAAAGGTTTGGCACAAAAAATTCGCCAACCTATAAACAACAGATCTTACAAGCTCAAGTCTCCCAGCATCGGAGAGTTTTGGAACTGTCCACTTAAAATCCAATTCAGTCAATTCATCCCGCTCCATCTCATATTCACTTGACAGTAGACAGTACTGACAATTCATGAATGACGAATCCCGGACCGTAAAAGGGGAGAACTTTTACATAATCCAAACTTCAGAGCTCAACGAGCTTCAATCAAACGGCAAGAAGAGCAGAAGGGTGTTCCACAAAAAAAACAAGAAACGGCGAACAGAAGTTGAAGGAAATAAAAAGGGGGACCTTCAAGTGATGCAGCTAGGCTAAGGACGCCTTTAGCGACGGAGATGACTTCGGGGCCGATGCCATCGCCGAGGTAGGAGAGTGATGGAGTAGCGTCTGGTGGGTGTGGTCGCGCCGCACCTGATGCTGCCCAATCTAGGAGGGCATTGCTTGGGGAGTGAAGCGTTGTTGTTGTGGCGAAATGGGGCTGTGAAGGATTTGGAATTCAGCTGCAGAGAAGCCATTGGTCAGAGAAGGGGCGAGAGAGCGAGAGCGTTAGGCAGAGTGTGTAGGTTTTGAGTTGCAGAGTTCTGTGTTGAGCGAGTGCGACGCTATCTTGGCAACTTGGCGGCTAAAACAAAAATGTCTCTGCAAGTGTCTTGGTTTAATCACGTGTTTCCGCATGCATAAGGTCGTGTGTTTAGTGAGGGGATATGTGCACTAGAAGTCCTAAAACTTGTCACAAAAGTGTAATTGTGTCCTAAAACTTTCAAAAAGTACAAACAAGTTCTAAAACTTGTCATGAAAATGCACTTAAGTCCTAAAACTTTCAAAAAGTGCAAATAAGTCCTAAAACTTGTCACGAAAGTACAAACAAGTCCTAAAACTTGTTACAAAAGTGCAAACAAGTCCTAAAATTTTCAAAAAGTACAATCAATGGAATGACTTGATTGAACCAATTTGATAAGTTTTAGGACTTGTTTGCACTTTTGTGACAAGTTTTAGGACTTGTTTGCACTTTTTTTAAGTTTTAGGACTCAAGTGCACTTTCGTGACAAGTTTTAGGACTTGTTTGCATTTTTTGAAAGTTTTAGGACTCAATTGCACTTTTGTAACAAGTTTTAGGACTTTGAATGCACTTATCCCTTTAGTTAACATTAAATACAAAATATCATAAAAAAAGGGTTAATATCACAAAAAACCCCAAACTAGTACATTTGTGATAATTTTACCCCGAACTAATTTTTTTATCACAAAAAACCCCAAACTGGTACACATGTGATAAATTTACCCCGAACTATTTTTTTTATCACCAAAAACTCCACACTAGTCCACTTGCGACAATTTTACCCCGAACTAATTTTTTGACCACCAAAAACCCCAAATTGGTACACCTGTGACAATTTTATCTCAAACTAATTTTTTGACCACTAAAAACTCCAAACTAGTACATTTGTGATAAATTTATCCTCCGTTAGTGTCCGTTAAATTGGATTAATATCACGAAAAATCACAAATTGGTAAACTTGTGACAAATGGAGGGGTAAAACCCCAAACTGGTACATCCATCAACTACCACGTGTTATCAAACTTAGCAATTTGATAGTAAAATTTAATGAAAACTAATAGAGGATAAATTTGTCACAGGTGTACCAGTTTGGGGTTTTTGGTGGTCAAAAAATTAGTCCGGGATAAAATTGTCACGGGTGTACCAGTTTGAGATTTTTGGTGGTCAAAAAAATAGTTCGGGATAAAATTGTTACAGGTATGCCAGTTTAGGGTTTTTTGTGGTAAAAACAATAGTTTGGGGTAAATTTATCATAGGTGTATCAGTTTGGAGTTTTTCATGGTATTAACTCTAAAAAAAATAAAAACTTCACCTTTTTCTTTTGTAATATTAAATCAAATGATATTGATATATTGTATATTTGATCATCTAAAATTTCCATCTTCATGATAATTATTTTGGAAAAATGACATGAATAGTCCTTGAACTTTGGACCGATGTACAATGTCATTTGTGAACTTTTAATTTATTCAATATAATCCTTAAACTTTATGATTAGGGATTTTTAAACATTTTCATATAATCTAGCGACTACGTTGAATATTTATCAATAGTTCAGGGACCATATTGAACACATTAAAGGTCTAGGGGCCAAAATTCAGGGATTACATTACACAAATTAAAAATTAAGGGATAACATTGCACATTAAACAAAAGTTTAAGTTGCCTTTTTATCTTCACACTCAATGCCTAGCATAACTTTTCGTCGTTTCCAAAGGGGAACAGATCAAAGCTCCCATACTAAAGACAGCTTATTCTCGGGAAAAGTATCAAAAAAGTCTTAAACCTATTGTGCCAATTTGGTTATTAACTTTCAATTGAGCCAATTTATTCATAAACCTTTTGTATTTGTGTCAATTGAATCAATCCGGCCAATTTATGGCAAAAATTGCTGACGTGGACGTCGTCTAGCCTACATGACACGACCGGCGCTGACATTGACATTTTTTTCATTAATTTTTTTTCCTTTTCCCTTTTATTTTTGCGTTTGTGGCTGGCGAGGGTCTTTGAGCTCACCAGCCACTAGGAGAGGCGGAGGTGAGCGCGGGCAAGGCCAACCTTGCTATGGCCTAGCTGCCCTGAGCAAAGGTGGCCTTGGCCTTGCCTGCCTTCGCTAGCGGCTGACAAGGCTGGCCTCGCCCGCACCCTCCTGGCTCGACTTGACCATCAACGAGCTAGCATAGGCGAGGATTGTAAGGACCCGAGGTCTACACTGTGTAATATTGTTCGCTTTGGGCCCACTGACCCTCACGGCTTTTAAACGCGTTACACAGAGTAGAGAACCCAAGCCTTATAAACTAGCCCAGGACTCCCCCCCTAAGCGATGTGGGACAAGAGACATGCCCCCCTTGCCATCCTAGAAGCCTGCCAGGAGCCACTCCTTGTCTAGGCCCTCTGGCCCCGGCGACCACTCCCCGCCCTCGTCGGACCGGGTCGTTACATTCTCCCCTCCTTCGAGCACAACGTCCTCGCTGTGGCCCCACACGCGGTCGGGAGTCGGCTCTGATACCATTTGTAAGGACCCGGGATCTACACTGTGTAATATTGTCCGCTTTGGGCCCACTGACCGTCACGGCTTTAAAACGCGTTGTCTTGGGCAGAGGCGCTTTCTGGCCCTTCCTCTCCCAAGCCCAATATTGTCCTCTTTGGGGCGCAAGCCCACAGGCCAAACCCACCCCTCAAGGCTTTGTTCTCAGCACAGCGGAAGCTTGTGTGAAACGCGTTACACAGGATAGGCCACCGAGGCCTTATAAGCAACCCCAGGACTCCCCCCTAAGCGATGTGGGATAGAGAGATGCCCCCCTTGCCATCCTAGAAGCCTGCCAAGAGCCGCTCCTTGTCCAGGTCTTTGAACCCCGGCGATCACTCCCCGCCCTCGTCGGACCGGGTCGTTACATTCTCCCCTCCTTCGAGCACAGCGTCCTCGCTGTAGCCCCACACGCGGTCGGGAGTCGGCTCTGATACCATTTGTAAGGACCCGGGGTCTACACTGTGTAAAATTGTCCGCTTTGGGCCCACTGACCCTCACGGCTTTAAAACGCGTTACACAGAGTAGAGAACCCAAGCCTTATAAACTAGCCCAGGACTCCCCCCCTAAGCGATGTGGGACAAGAGACATGCCCCCCCTTGCCATCCTAGAAGCCTGCTAGGAGCCGCTCCTTGTCCAGGCCCTCTGGCCCCGGCGACCACTCCCCGTCCTCGTCAGACCAGGTCGTTACAAGGACCACGACCCTTACCGGTGAGCTTCGGCGAACCTCGCCGGCCATAGTGGAAAAGAAAAAGGAAACAAGGAAAAAGAAAGGAAAGGAAATAAAATTAATAAAAAAAATTCAAAAACATTATTAAAAATTTACACGTCGGTGTCGACTATGCCGTGTAGAACGACCGGCGTCCATATCAACAAATTCCAACCTAAATTGGCCAAATGGACTAAATTGACACATATGCAAAAGGTTTAGGACTAATTGGCAAAACTGAAAGGTTTAGAACTGAATTAGCATCAATCCAATAAATTTAAAACTTTTTTAGTAGTTTTCTGCTTATTTTCTATTCTTCAAGTGGGGTAATACCAAAAAAACAAGTGGGGTAATACGATTTGGTTTGGTTCAAGTTGAAAACAAAAGAGGGAATATTAGAATGTACTTTATCCAATGGGGAAAAAAAAGGGGTTAATTCAAAAAAAAAAGCACCAACTTTAGGTCGAAGGACAATTCTGGCCCGAACTTTTTTTTGTCCTGTAAAAAAACACCAACTTTAGGTCGAGGGACAATTCTGGCACGAACTTTTTTTGTCTAGTAAAAAAGGGTCAACTTTAGGTCAAGTGACAATTCTGGCCCAACGTTTTTTTGTCTCATAAAAAATCACCAACTTTCACCCCGATCCCAAAACTGGCCCCCCGTTGACTTTCTGTCTGAATTCACCATTATTTGAGAAAAAAGGTTACGGTGGTGAGCCTGACGAATCTCGTTCATGGCATCTGTCGACGTGTGTTGATCTACAGCTGCAGATTACGACAAAATGATGAAGTCTGGCTAGAGAGATTCAGTTTAGAGATATTTTTGATTTGCCGGTAAAGTGAATAAGGCGAACAATTTCACCGTTATTCTTCAAGCTGTAGCTCAGAGAATAAGACAATGAATAGTACTTTAAATCTAGTTAGCAAGTCACGTAGATTAATTGCTAAGGTGGAATAGTCAAGTTGGATAATCAAGGGTTTTAAGTCAACGGGGAGCCATATTTGGGATCAGGACGAAAGTTTGTGCTTTTTTATGTGATAAAAAAAATTGGGGCCAAAATTGTCACTTGACCTAAAGTTTATGCTTTTTTATGGGACAAAAAAAAGTTCAAGCCAGAATTGTCCCTCGACCTAAAATTGGTGCTTTTTTATGGGACAAAAAAAAGTTCGGATCAAAATTGTCCCTCGATCTAAAGTTAGTGCTTTTTTTTGGAATTAATCCAAAAAAAGGTAGTCAATCATGCTTATTCCTTAGAGAGAAACTATTGAAGGTTGCCCAATAGTCATTACTCTTATTTTGGCCAACTCCCCTTGGTCGTTGCTCTGCCCACAGAATATTAGTGGAATGATGACTTCTTGACTGTCCACAACCCCAAGAAGTGACTTAGATATCCCTCACTTTGCAATTACTCTTATTTAAGCCAACTCTCCTTGGTCATTGATTCGATAATATTAATCCTCATGGAGCATCGCACGAGAGAGAGAGAGAGGTTTCAGTACCGAATGTGCATGCAGTTACAAGGAGCAAGAAACAAAACGAACGTCAAACGTTAAAGTGCGCATATATAATTTCAGGTCGGAAAGACGGAGAGCACCCTTTTCCCCTCGATATGTTCAAGGCGCCAAAAACTTTTCCTTCATCAAAGAGCACTTTTCTTCTGCAGGACAACCACACTGACAACAAGCAAGAATTTGCATAATGTTTGACTCTGTCAAATCTCACTCCCCTCATCTTCTCCGCGCCGTTCTCCTCATCTATTCGGTCTCTATTTCATTCTCTCATGGCGGTTCTCATCTCCACCACCCGCCGACGGCACACTTTCCGAGTAAACGTTCTTTCTTTTTGGGTCCTCTGTTTTGTTCTTCCATTTTAAACTTGATCTTCAACGAACCTAGTGCGGATTAAAATTGGATGTGTGATCGCTGTTTCAGTGTGGCAGTTCTACTTGTGGACAGTTTCTTTAGATCATGTGTGGTTTTACATGGGCTTGATGGCCTCGTTGTCATTGTTTTCTATCTTATCGTTGACATTATGTTCAACAAAGTGACCATTTCTTTTTCGCTGAAGAAATCGCCATTTTGGCAGAGTTTGATGTTGCTCGGTGGGAAGAGAGAAGGCTAGTTCTTGAAGGAAATGATGAAGGCAGTGTACAGAATTCGACACTGGTATTAGCTGAAAAGAGAACGCGCAGGAGAGACCCTCTGGATAATTTCAGGCACTACAAGGGGGGTTGGAACATCAGCAGCACACATTACTTATTTGTCAGTGTCATCGTTTACTTCCCTCTCTATTCTATTTGATCCTTCAATGAGTTTATGAAATTATAATCAGGAACATGTTCTTTTTATTAGTATTTTCAATAACAAAAATGCCTAGAGAGCGGTGGTGCAGGGTTGGGTGACAAATATGTTCTTATTCAGGATGTGTGCTAGATTTGCTGTGATGGCAGAGTTAGTTCTAAGATTCCTCATGGACTTACCCCCCAAAAAACAGCTTTCCTCGTTGGCTACATCTACAGTGGCTGGATTTCTGATGGTGAACTTCCTGTGTTCCATTTTTTATGTCCCTTGTTGATGGTCTCATTTATCTGCAGTAGAGAGCTCATATGTTTGCCAACAGTTGTCGGTATTTATTTTGTGTTGGTTTATATGGCTGTAATACTAAGAGTATTTTAATTACTTGCATTTAACAGTCTGTTGGATTTACTGCCACTCCATTGTTTGTCATTGCCACAATTTGGTTTCTGGGGTTTGGTCTATGCCTTTGCATCTTATGTGTTCACCACTGCTGCTGCCACCAATTCAAACAGTCTTATGGCAATTCAAAATCCAAATATGCTCTCTCTCTACTTGGAATATTCATTACAGCGGCAATGTAGGTTCCTCCCTTCTCTTTGTTTTGTCAAAAACAAGTGATGCGAATTATGTGAATGATGGGTTGTCTGTGCTTCAAGTGTCGGTAACATTGTCCTGTTCACCAGCCAGGAGAAGTTCCATGGAAGCACAAGTAGCACACTGAAATATGTGGTGAAGCAGGCTGATACTACGGTTGAAAAGCTTAGAAATGTATCTGATTACCTTGCTGCCGCTAAGCATGTCGGAGTGGATCAAATATCTTTACCACCCAATGCCCAGAGCAACATTGACAAAGTAGAAACTGAGATTAATTCTTCAGCAACCAAACTCGAGAGAAAAACAGACCAGAATTCAGATAAGATTCAGCATGTGTTGAATTCAGTGTTAGTGATTAATTTACGTTCTGTTCTGTACATCTTTTCCTATTTCAGCATTTGTACTGATTGATTTTTCCACTTTCTGTAGAAGATTGGCTGTCATCATTATTGCAGCTATGGTGCTCCTCTTGGCTTTACTTGGCTTCTATAAGACTATCTGCTGTCACGATCAGATCAACTGCATATATTTTTAGTGACTATAGCGAAATTCCCTCACACGTTGATTGTTACTCCTGGCAGTTCTATCGGTGTTAGGAGTTCAGCCACTTGTATCCCTGTGAGTGCTTTAGCTGTTATATGTCCTTATTTTTCAGGAAGTGTTATCCATTTTATCCACTTTTTTCCATCACGATGTGGACTTTTTGTAGATTGTCAATTTTCGGGTGGATCTTGGTCACTGTTACATTCGTTTTATGTGGACTTTTTGTCATTCTCCACAAGTAAGTGCAGCGGATCATCCTTTATGATCTGTCTGTTGCCCCATAATTCTTTTAGATCAACGTATCTCCTCTACTGTTAATTTTTTACTTGTTAAGGTTAATATCTTTAGTCTATTTCTTATTATGCCATCTTCTGTGGCCTATGATACAGTTTCTAGCCAAGTCCACTATGTTGCGACCTAACTTTTTCAGTATGCAAGTTAAGGTTTTTTGCTAAACGACAACTTCCTCATTGAAAAGGAAAAATAAAAGCATATATATATGGCTCGCTGCTAGTGTCCCGTGGCAGTTTCAGTAACTCTTGAAGTAAATATATTTATGGTTATCAAGTAGCGATTGTAATGCTGTATTCACCGGCTAGAGTTGGCTTGAAGCCCTATGATTTGCTTCTCAGTCTTCTATTCTTAAAAATTTTTAGTGCAATGGGTGACACCTGTGTTGCCATGGAAGAATGGATCCAAAACTCCACAGCCCACACATCCATGGATGATATACTTCCCTGTGTGGACAATGCAACTGCCCAAGAGACCTTGTTGCAGAGCAAAGATGTTACCTTCCAGTTGGTCCGTGTAGTCAACAGATTTATTGGCAACATCTCGAACCACAACTTTCCAGCAGACAGTGACCCTTTTTACTACAACCAGTCTGGCCCGTTAGTGCCACTCCTTTGTAATCCTTTCCATCATGATAAAACTGATAGAAGATGTGCTGATGGTGAGGTCAACTTTGACAATGCGTCGCAGGTAAGCCAGAGAATCTGTACATTAGCAATGATTAAAGCTGTTTCTTCATGGAGATAGGACAGCCTAGTTGAGTCAAGTCGTGTGAAACTTATAATAGTTATGATCTGCAGTGGTTTCTCATACATATCGAGGAAAGAGAGATATTGAGGATAATTTGCATCAGATAATTTCGACCAATGCTAGCGTGCCGAAGAGCACTGCAATGAATCTTTTCACTGATAGAGGCCATTAGATTTCACTTCTCTTTATGAAATTTATAAAGGTCATGTGTACATAATTGGCAAATGATAAGGCTATGGATGATTTTCTAGTACAGAGTTTGCAGAGAGCTTTGCAATTAACATAGCGACAATAATCTGGTGCAGGAATGGAGGAAATACATCTGTGAGGTCTCAACAAATAATCTTTGCACTTCATTGGGCCGCTTGACAACCGTATTCTATGACCAGATGACGGCCATTGTCAATGTGAGCTATGGCTTATATCACTATGGTCCATTCCTTGTTGACCTACAAGACTGCTCTTTCGTTCGAGATGCCTTCCGTGAAGTCGATAAGGAACACTGTCCAGGCCTAAGGCTCTATAGTAAGTGGATCTATGTTGGGTTGGCTTTGGTTTCTGCTTCAGTAATGCTTTCATTGGTGTTCTGGGTGGATTATGCAAGAGAGCAACGGAAACGCCTGGTCACCGAACTGTTTATACCTCTGACAGATCAAGATCAGTCGGGAGTAGAAAGAGGTCAAGATTAACTGTGCCAATGCATCATGTGAATTCTCATTTAATTCTATTTTTTTCTACTGTGGAAAAAGATTCTCAACACATCATGTAGGGTATTGGAAAATTCAATATTTGTGATAAACACGAGAGAGACTATAAGTCACTTTCAAGTTTCTTCAAAGATTCTTTTCCAACATTTTGGAACATCATTTCCTCTTCATCAGGGACTCTTGCTCTTAAAATTTCTTTCTAGAGAGAAGGAATTTATGCTTAAACATGGCGCACCGGCATCATTTACTACATAAGTTGTCGTGAGCAGTTAAAGCAAGCTACATGTGTTTTTCCCCATAGATTCGAAAATAACAATCATCCATCCCTCCCTCCCGCAGTCTCTCTCTATGATCAGATGATTTTTGCATCTCCAGCATATTTTGGTGCTTTCCTTTTTACACATTCGAGTTTGTTTCGATGTACTTGGGGAAACAACATGCGAAGACAAGTTCAATACTATGTCGACCATATGTGAAAAAATAAGAAAGCTTTAGCTAAAAGCTCGTGCCATGCCAATTTAATGACATCTAGAGAAAGCAACCGAACTCGAAAGACTCGAAACCATAGAAACAGCCTTTCGGAGAAATTTCTCCTACCGACTTCAACAAAATCAAACACACACAATCCAATGGCCAAAAGAAAAAAACATCACATTTTTCTGAAGTGTCTTTGCCGAGACCATAATATTGCATCAGGGAACATCAGCAAATAGCAAGCTGCGATACCAGAAAATAGTGCAGGTGAAATGGAACTGTTCGTTTGCCCTTAGACACGAGCCGTCCTCAAAATCTGAACTGTATGCGCATGGGCGGCGGTCAACTGAGGATCATATGACCCTGCAATTTCACCTTGCAATCATGCAAAATGCAAATGGCCTTCTTGGTTTGTACGGCTTTGAAATTCCATAAGATAAAGAAGAGACGGCATTGGCCCGACTCTTTGTTCTATAGCAAAAGATTGACTGTAACCGTCAGAAAGGTATCTTTGAACGGATTAAGCAGCTAAGCCAACATGGCTTCCTTTGTCCAAACCGAAACATCGATGCCAAAAGTGAGCCAGATCTTCGACGAGATCCGGTGGGTGATCCAAATCCGCCGGACACTCGAGGAAGAGTTCAAAGACGAAACCGAGGTGCCGGTCTCCATTTTCAGCATCCCGAAAGTATTAATGTCGAGTGCCCCAGATTTGTACACCCCGCAACAAGTGGCGATTGGTCCATACTACCATTGGCGCCCTGAGATGTATGAGATGGAGAGATACAAGCTGGCGGTGGTGAAAAGATCTCGGAAGCAACTCCAGAGGATCAAGTTCCAGAATTTGGTGGAGCAACTGGTAAAGCTTGAGTCGAGAGTCCGAGCCTGCTATCACAAGTACCTGGACTGCAACGGCAAGACACTGGCGTGGATGATGGCCATCGACGCGTCATTCTTGCTCGAGTTCCTCCAAGTCTATGCAATCAAAGAAGGTAAGATACTCTCCAGGGTCTCATCGAGGATGTCACATTTGGTCGATTATGCAGGAAGTCTGCACACAATGTCATCCTTAGGACATAGTCATGCTAGAGAATCAAATCCAACTTTTCATATTGCGGAAGATGTTGGAATTCCAATTCGCGTCCCTCGACGAAGCTGACGACATGTTGCTTGTGATGCTAATGGGGTTTTACAAGGAAGTCTCGCCGTTCAAAGTGATCGAGGCATTGCCCAAGATACAAGTGTCAGCCTGGGCCTACTTGCCAGACTTCTTGTATGACACCATAGTACCCAAAGTGAAGGAACAGCCCGAGATTATTGAGGAGGAAAGTGACAACGAGGACAAGGAAGACAAGGCAAAATCACCACGGTCATTGTTGTCTTCCAGTGGCACAAATTATATCAAGCAACTATGCGATCAAATTTGGAATTTGCTCTCCAAGTTGAACAAAGGCCCTATTTTTTTTTTTTTTTGTCGGTAACAAAGGCCCTATTGAAATTGTCAAGAAACTGCTTCTTTCAAACCCAGTGAAGGTAGTATTGAAATTGCCATGGACTATTCTCTCTAAACTCCCATTTCTCTCAGTCTTGGCACAGCCTCTTGAGTCCTTAATCTCATCCCAAGTAAAAGAAGAGGGCAAGTCAGAAAATGAAAACAGAAATCCTCATAAGTCACCTTCAGTTGAGGAGATCACGATCCCCTCCGTCTCTGACCTATCCAATGTAGGAGTCCGTTTCGTACCCACCAAGGGAAACCTCTCTACCATCGGTTTCGACGCCAAGACGGCGACGCTTTACTTGCCTGCCATAAGTCTGGATGTGAACTCGGAGGCGTATATGAGGAACCTAGTTGCTTACGAGGCGTCCAACGCGTCAGGCCCATTGGTTTTCACGGGCTACACCGAACTCATGAATGGTTTTATAGACTCTGATGAGTATGTGAAGCTGTTGAGAGAGAGAGGGGTCATTTTGAACCATCTGAAGGGCGACGAGGCGGTCGCGAAGCTGTGGAATGGGATGAACAAGTCGATCCGGTTGACAAAAGTGCCCTTCTTGGACAAGGCGATCGAGGACGTGAACAAGTACTACAACGGGAGGTGGAAGGTCAAGCTCGGCAAGTTCATGAAGCAGTACGTGTTCAGCTCATGGCAATTCCTGGCAGTGCTGGCTGAGATTGTACTCTTACTGCTCGTGACATTGCATGCCTTTTGCTCGGTCTATAGCTGTTCTCGTATATTTCATGTCAAAGCCCCAAGCATATGATCAATCATAAAGATGTCGGGTCTGTGCGTGTAAGTGTTCCATGTTTTTTTCTTTTGTTTTAGGGAAAAAGCATAGTCAGCTCATATCCAGTGCAATATGGATTAAGCTGGTGCACGTGAAAATTTGCAGTTCTTTTATAGTATTTTAGCCGCATGATGAGTTTTTGTAAGATTGTGGTGTCCTATTACTGAAGAGAGCAAGAGGGTTATCTTATTATTTTAACTTTTTCAAGTCGGAATTGTGATCATTAATAGCAACGATGTTGATGGGTTTGTCGATTCCCACTAAATCTACGTCGTCTCTCCTTGATTTTATCATGGGCATTGTTTTGTTGTTGTTATATATCTGACGTCGTATCGATTCATCTTTGCATTAGCCTCTAGATTAAGAGATACCTGGGTGCACAAGATCCCACTGCACTGGGATCATCATCATCTGTGACGTCCTGAGAATTTGTCCATTTGTGATTTATGAAATATTTGATTTTATGAATGTACTCGTAGTTAGTTCTCGCCCGGAACTGATCATTCCTGGGATACTAACCATTAGGGAAAGGCTAACTGGGGATTTAAATTCGTGTGACTAAGAGAAAATTCGATCGTGAATTGATTTTCGATCATAAAATCGCCGAGGTGACATTTTGAGCCACTGTAGGCCAATCCAAGGATAGCTAGGGGTCAATTCGCCACTGTCATAGTAGTGGATCGCGGGTGATTCCGCTGGACCACGAAATGAATTGACGAACAATCCTGAACCTATACCAAACGATCGTGCCCCTCGGATCTAGTGATTGATTCTCGCGATTTAAATGACAACCGAAGTCGTCACGAGCTGAATGAATCTGCACGTGACTCGATTTATTATCAGTCACAGGTCGAATATGCGAATTTCCCCAAAAAGCCACCCGTTAGTTTGAGAAACGCTCGAATTGCGTTTAATAAAATTTAATTATTTAATTGAGCCCAGATTGGACATCGGAAAATTTGGAAGTCACAACGGGACGTTAGGACGACGTTGTGGTTGGAACATACAGCTTCGGATTTTCCCGAATCCTTCAGAAAAATTTAATTTTGGCAAGAAATGAGGAAAGTGACCGTTTTACCCCTAAGGATTTGTTAAGGGCAAGTTTAAGAGGAAACGGCATTTTGGTCATTTTGCCCTGGATTTGGAAAATGACAATTTTACCCTTGGACTTTTTGAGAAATTCCCAGATTGCCCTTGGATATTTTGGAAAAGATTTGATCCGGGCCGTTGATTTCAAGATAAGATCGAATCTCGGCCGTTGATTAAAAAGATTAGAGAGGGGCAAGATTGTAATTTGCCAAATTTGGTCAAAATTGAATTATTTAAGTCAAGACCACTCTCTCTCTTCACTCTCTCTCTCTATATCTCTCGGCCATCTCTCTCTCCCCCTCCCCCACCGTGAGCTCTCCCCCTTGGCCGCTCGCCGCCGCACCGTCGCCACCGGCCACCGCCCGTCCGCCGTGCCGCCACCGCGCCACCGCCGTACCACCGCCGTCCCCCTCTCACCCTCTCGGCTCTTTCTCTCTCTCTCTCCCTTTCCCGTGAGTGAGCCGCGGCAAGGAGGCTGACCCCCGCCGCCGCACATCGTCCACGCCGCCAAGTCGCGCCGCCGTTCGCCGCCGTCCCCGCCGATCGCCGCCGCTTTTCCGCTCTAGCCGCGTTAGTCTAGAGTTTGGTAAGTCGCGCCCTAAACCTTATTTAGGACGTCGGGTATCGACGGATAATTTTTGGGTGAAATCGGGTTTAATTAGGTGCGGAATTGTACAATTTAGGAGCAGAATCGATTAGCGGGCCTTAGGATTGAATTTGGGCAATTTTGGTGGAAAAATTGAGGTCGAAAGCGGGCTGTGGATGGCTGATTTGAGTGCTGTGATGCTCGGTTCGGTACGCAAATTGGATATTTAGAACCGACGAGTAATTGGGAGAAAATGCCGTGAAGGGCCGAAATTGATTCGTCGCAGTTTGGTTGGGGAAAAATGACAATTTGTGTGTTTAATGTGTGTTTGAACTATGGTTGAATTGTGGTGATGAAATTGGGTGCATTAGTGTGAAATTGATTGGGTTAAAAATGCTTGTTGTGTGTACGCTCGGGCCAGATCGAATTAATTATCAAATTGGCCATGTCGAATGCTTAGTAAGCATGAAAAATGTATGTGAATTGTTGCGTGCACGGGCCACGTGTGATTGGCCAACTGATTGGCAAGTGAGTGATGAGCATGTAAATGAGAAAAAGATTATGTGCGACGTGGCATGTGTGATTGTGGAAATCCCTGAGGCGGTATCACTACGCGGGGATGTTGCCGTCCTGAGGCGGTACTACTACGCGGGACGATGC